GTTAAAAAGTGTGATCTTAAGCCAACTATGGGTAAAAATTATGAACAATCAAATGTTCATGAGTTTGAAATCTTTGACATTGTTCAAGATATGAAGTGCTTACATCAAAGTTTGTTCTTTATGAAATGGCTAATAAGAGAACAAGTTCAGAAAGTTATAGAAATGTATTACCAATTGTGATTTCTTGATTAGCCAATTTCGAAGTACCAATAACTAAAACAATCTGATGTCCCAAATATTTGCTTTATGGTTTAGAGTGTCTGTTGACATTGGAAGGTTATTGTGCTCCAACTAATAGGCCAATTCTTGTTGAAGTATTTCTATGGTTTAAAACACTTGGTTCATGCATTGCTCTGTCGATTGTGTACATACACTGTCGATTGAAATAATCTATTACCAATTTAAAAACTCATATATGGCCTACATTGGACTACATTTGTGAAGGATGCACAACATATTTATTATGGCCTTTGGTGGCTATCTTATTGACATGTGCTTATAATAATCATTTTTTGTTAGTTAGTAAAAAAGATTTATTTTGGTGATTGTTTTTTCACAAATCAATTTTATATACAACACTTCAAAAATTCGAGCCTTCTCATTCTTAAAGAATTAGGGGGGGCATTGTTTGCACCCATTTTCATAAAATTCCTATCGACAAGTGGATTAATTGGATGATGACACGTGGCAGTGAAGTCAAAATGATGTCTTTTATCAGTCAAGGGGCAGGTGGCATTAGAGAGGTTGATCACATGCATTGGATGGTTTAGATGATGGAGCAGTTATCAAGGTAAGTCATGGGCTTAGTAGGCAACTTGCAAGAAAAGTCATGTGCAAAATGGAAGTTTTTCTCTGTTAATGGAAGGTCCAAAGTACTGAGGGACACATGGCAACATGAAGAAGAGGTGGTTCGACAAATAGAAATAAAGAATTGGTGAGAGAGCAGTTATAGGATTTAGGGAAATCATGCAATCATGGGCTAGAGAAAAATGGGGAGGTATAAAAGCAAAAGTTGCCAAAGGGGAATGGACATCAACAATAATACAACAACTTAGCTTTCAGACTTAGCATAATCTAGGAGTAGCTGTTTTGTAACGCCCTCAAAATAATAACATTAAACCCATCAATATAGACATGCATTGATATATAAAAGCTCCACATTCTTCTATTCATCAGAGTTCCATTACCAAAAAGTATTACACATTAACGACAAAAGCAAATGCCCTAAAGGCTTACAGCTTTCCAAGTTAACACTTGGTTACAACAAAAGAGTGCTAACTCATTTACACATTAAGCCCTTGGCTTGAATATACATGTAATACAACAAAGAAACTAAACAACAAAAATCTGCCCGCCTCTAGCCCCCCAAGCTACGTCCTTGGAGGTGGCATGCTACCTGTACCTGAAAATGATGTTCCCATATAGGGTGCGCCACAGCCCAGCAGAAGTATACTAAACCAACTATGAACAATGACTAAAAGATTAGCAATTGATAGATGGCCAACACTGATACATCCACATATATCACATCACAATTTCATAACATACAAGTCTATGTCACATTTCATTCCCCACCTTTATTCAATATATAAGCATATTAGCTATATCAACACATCAACAGATAAGCATATTAGCCGTATCCACACTTCACTAGACAAGCATATGAGCTGTATCTACACTTCACTAGACAAGCATATAAGCTGTATCTGCACTTCTCTAGACAAGCATATGAGCTGTGTCTACGGAGTTCATCCCCCATCTCCTCCTCTACACATAATGCATATAAACACAAAGGTTCTATACACAATCAGTCAATACATAAAATTAATGTATTCTATCCACCGTCATATTCTATGACACATTCGATCGATTAGTTTTAGTTTGCCTAATCATCATGCATTGTCTACAACAATCAAGACTATCCTCCACCGATAGCCCAAAGCAGTTATTTCTAAATAGAAAATAAATGCACAAAAAGAATATTAAATCAACATTTCAATTAGGCGAGCGATAAATGATCCAACTACACCCTCTAATCCCTTCCCTTTCCACTTTCCACATTTTCGATTCAATCTCTCATTTCCGACAATTAATTATACAAATCAATCAATCAATGTAATTAGGACATTTTCCATAATTAACATTTCAATTCCCACGGTTTCAATTTCATCAATGTTTCAACATTAATTTCATTCCCTCATGGCAAACATGCATTTAGGTTTTGTATATTTAAAAAAAACCAGCTTTTGTAAAATTTCACAAAGGCCCAAACTCTCTAAAAATTACCCAACAATCCCCCAACATATCAAAATGACAAAATTTAAAGACAAAGTTCATAGAAAGGAGTAGGGTATCCCTACCTCGAAGTTAGAGCTCGGATGGAGAAGAGACCAAAACCAAAGTGCTCCAAAGACCAAGATTTTCGGATCAAAACGAGGCCCTCGACGATCAACACAACTTTTACAAAGACCGAAGAGAATGAGGACACTCTAACTAGATCAAACCCTAGAGAGAAGGGAGTTTCTAGAGAGAGGGGCTCTCAAAAATGGGTTGTAGAAAAAGTAGGAGAGAGAAAGAAAAGTAAAAAGTGATTTAAAATCACCCAGCGGATAACTCATATACGACATACCCGCTCGAGCGGAGAACACAACGCTCGAGCGTCAAGAACAAAAATCTGGACTCGCTCGAGCGCAATAAGTCCCGCTCGAGCGCCAAGACACAATATTAAAGCACTTCTGCTCGAGCGTGAAAACCAGTCCGCTCGAGCGTAGATTTCCCCCTCCCAGAACTTATATCCAGAAAGTGCTACCCGCTCGAGCGCCGACAAACCCGCTCGAGCGCTACCGCTCGAGCGTAAAGAAACCCGCTCGAGCGTAAAAATCACACCTGCAGAAGTTTTGCAGGGACACGAAATACTGGGGGTGTGCAATCTCCGCTCGAGCGCAAGGAGACCCGCTCGAGCGGAACGCCTAAAAACTGGGCAACAAGGAATTAAAACCAAGGCCTAACCCACCTGTAACAACCCTGCCCAAAACATCCTAAAACTCAATCAAGTGGAATTAAAGGACGACAACAAGATAGGTACCACTACCAACTTCACGGAACCGAGTCCGGAATACGACAGAACAGTAGAGGGACAACCGGGATCGCTATATGTTTTAGTTTAAGAGTAGTTTCTCCATGTAATTTGTAATCTTTATAAACATTAGTAGTTTCATCTTGAAATCATTTTTAGTTTGCTTTGTTTACTTTGTTTGATCTTATTGATTGTAACTTTTATTCTAAAGAAGTCCTTGTACTTTCAAGGCATTTGAATAAAAAAATACAGTCTCTTGATTTCTCTTGTTTGATTGTTTAGTCAAAATTGTTATTTAATTCCTGTTGATTGGGAGTTAACATAATTTTTACAAACAAGTTCTTGTATCAACCTTTGCCCTGTGCAGGGCTCTGAAGGACATGTTGAAGCCTTGGAGGATAAGACTTTTTTTTTTTATCAACAGAGAAAAATTTCATTAACGGCGTGAAATTAAAGGTACAGGAAGATGACATGCACCGAGAGACATTCGGAAAGTACAAATTTCATTGGAGGATAAAACTTACCTTACTCTTTCTTTCTCTCTCCATAAAATCTGAGAGTAAATTTGGTTTACAGTTTGATATGATATGTAGCATTCCAATCCTTAATTTTTTTTTTCATCAAATCCTTCTGAAAAATCCTAGCTAACTAAAATGAATCTCTCATGAAAGAGAACCATTTTTTATGATAGGTGCTAATTCCAAAAACTATTTTAACCATTTTTTAAAGGAAAGAAAACTATCTCAATTTCTTACTATCAAAAAAAAAAAAAACCCAAAAGATTACCAAACATGCCCCTAGAGTTTCATGTTACTTGGGCCTAAAGAAAAGGCATCCCATACAGAACATGCTTTATTCATACATATGTAAAATCTTTAGTTTTGTTGGACCGTTGCCTTGATTATTGTTCATAACTTCTCTGAGTGTTTTTATTAGGTAGCATAATTAGAAACTTGGCTCATGTTGTTCTCTCTCGTTTTAATTCTGTGTCGGTGTTTTAACTTAATTATCTTCAGATTAAGGAAATAGAAGCAAGGAATTAAACGTTTCTGGTTTTGATTCTTTCACTTTCGCTTTGGGAACTAAAAGAACATAGTGAAAGAAATTCTGAATGATGTTAAAATGACCATATAGTGTTGCCGGCACACTTCATTTTTGTTGCTGATATTCCACGGTAAGGACCGTGGAATCAGTTGATACAATAAAGTTTCTCTTTTGGACCATTTGTTGTTTGCGAACCACTAAAATCATCTCCGACAGATTATAGTATTTTAATCGCGTAAATATTATATCTTAGTATATTATAGTTTCAATTAGTGCATATGTTATTCTTTTTTTAACACGATCACAATATAATTTAATTTTTATCATACGATGTAATTATGTATATATGTTTTAAAATTTAAATTTAAATTAAATTAAACTTCAAATTAAAAAAAAAATTGAGAAAAAGATGTGGGTTTTTATGAAGATGAGTTTCACATACATATATGAGAGAGAGATATACACTGGGATAGTATACTGATTACACAAAATAACACTTTCCATTTGACGATTGGATTCGGCCTATGCTTTATCTAATTCTGATGGTTATAAAAAGCAATGAAGCTGGCAGATTAGAAGAATACTAACACAACCTCTCCTCTATTCTTCTCTCCTTTTCTTTTTCTCAGCTCCAAAAGCCTAGAGAGTTCTGCAATCAAAACAAAGAACACTGTTAGTAAAAATTATGCTCACTCTCAATCACGTGTTGTCATTCCAAAAAAATATGTCCCCGCAGCAGACATGAACTTAACGTTGGGGAATTTTAATTTCATTGGTAGCAAGCAAGGAAGTTGATTCAGCATCTGCTTTTCTTTTTGTTTTTTGTTCCATTTCTCATAGCTATATAATGGGCAAGTCAGATTGCAAGAAGAACACACAACACAAGCCTTCCTATTTCACTCCTCTCTCTTAAGAGTTTTTGCATTGTATTGCTTTGAAAACATGGCCGCGAGCAAGGTGACACCCGGTTCCATGACGCAACTGATCAAAGGCGACCGAAGCATGCTCATGATGTCCGATGACAATGTTATGATGAAGCAAATTCAGGGTACCCATAACCCAGATGGCCGCGAAATCGACGTCAAACCCATTCTCCATATCGTAGTGGACATCCTCAGCCGCCACCATGCCAGTCGAAACCAGCATTGTCCTGGTATAACAAATTCTACCTTACAATCATCCTCGATCCTGTCCCCAAATCATTCTGTTTTCTAAGTTTTTTTGTTGATAAAATTAATTTAGTTGCGATTTGAATACTGTAGGGCATGGGAGTCCAAGGACGCATGGAGCATTTCGAGAAGAAAGTCCAACAAGGTGGTGTCATTAACATGCTTGATTTTTATTTTTTACTAATTTTAAAAATCTAATTATAATTTACATTATCAGCTAGCATACAAGTGTCAAATTGGCATGGACGGCCATCAAATAACAATCTCTCTGTTCACCGTGCTATCAAACTATTCATGGGATGCCAAGCTGGTGCTAGCACTAGCAGCTTACGCTTCGAACTTCGGAGCATTCTGGCTCCTGGCTCAGATGTACACATCAAACCAACTCGCAAAATCAATGGCACTCCTGAAGCGATTACCGGTCACCGTGGAACACTCTGGCCCAGTGAAATCCCGGTTTGATGCACTTAACACTCTGATCACGGCCATGTTGGATTTGACCAGGTGCATTGTGGCATTGAAGGATCTACCCTCTTCATATGTCACACAGGAGGTGCCTGCCTTGTCCGCGGTCATAGCCACTATCCCAACTGCTGTCTACTGGACTGTTAGAGGCATAGTCGCTTGCGCTACCCAGATCACCAGTCTCACTAGCCTCACTAGCCTCACTAGCATGGGCTATGAGTACGTTTAATGATTTGTTACAATGTTAACTCATTTAAGTATCAAATCTTTATGTATGAATATCTAGTTTTCCAGTTAATAATATGAAATATGTTTGCAGATTCATAACTTCGGCTACAGAGGCATGGGAGCTATCGAGCTTGGCTCACAAGATCAACAGCATACATGACCATCTTAAGAAGCAACTCGAACTCTGCTACCAACTCGTAGGTCATTGAGCACTAACCATTTCAAAAAAGTTTAAATCTACACTATCCATTTCACTTTGGCTATAAAAATTCATGATTCATAACGATTGTAAACTAAACGTCACGATTGTTTGATGCAGAGGAGAAAAGGAACCTTGAAGCTTGTGAGTCACTGGTGCGTCTAATGGAAATGATACACTTAGACAACATGAAAGTTCTCAGGGCGCTGAGTTATGCCAAGGATGATCTGCTGCCGCTCTTTGATGGTTCTGCTAAGAGAAGGGTACGTTGTAACATCGGATGGTTATGAACATTTGTAGCTATTATTGCATGTTTATTAATTTCTTTCATCTCCATGGCCTGGAAGTTCTGAGGAGAAAGAATGTTTTACTGCTGATATCAGGCCTCGACATCTCTATGGATCACGGCCATGTTGGATTTGACCAGGTGCATTGTGGCATTGAAGGATCTACCCTCTTCATATGTCACACAGGAGGTGCCTGCCTTGTCCGCGGCCATAGCCACTATCCCAACTGCTGTCTACTGGACTGTTGAGATGGTGTGGATCCCAGTTGTGGATCGGTCGGTGCAATGGACTGACCCGATGCAAAAGCAGTTTGAGAGATTGCAATCCACTATGCCATGGTACACGGTGCACCAACCTTCGTTGATTGATCGAGTGGTGATTAGGTTCATAAGGGAGAAGTGGCACTTCAGGAACGAGGCAATCCTAGTGGTGCTGGACCCACAAGGTAAGGTTGTGAGCCCCAATGCCATCCACATGATGTGGATATGGGGAAGCAATGCATTCCCTTTTACTAGCGCGAGAGAGGAAGCTCTTTGGAGGAAAGAGACTTGGAAGATTGAGTTGCTCGTGAATGGTATCGACCAAACAATTCTCAATTGGGTAAACTTCATCTTCCTATGTCTTAATAATCATTGTCACACAAAAATGATGAGGCAGTAATATTTTTTTATAATTAAATGTAATTTAAATGAATATTTTATTTTAAAATGATAGGTCATCCCAAGTAATGACATCTTCAATATGCAAATTTTATATATTTTACTACTCATAAATTAAACATACACATATATAATTTCTTTACATAGTGGTTGTAAATTAAACATACATATATATAATTTCTTCACATAGTAGTTGTATTATAATAATGAAATTGGTATTATAATAATAAAATTGATATTACTACACACATATTAGAATTTGGCTTGATTTTGACTTTATTAGTAATGCCCCGAATTCATGATTTTTTTACTATTTATCAACTCTTACCTATCGAAATTTTAGACTTTCAATTGTTATTCATCAATACATTGATGTCTTTTATTATAGGTTAGAGATGGAAAATACATATTCTTGTATGGAGGGGATGACCTTGAGTGGATACGAAGATTCACAACCAGAGCAACAGCGGTTGCACGTGACGCGCGCATCCTTCTGGAGATGGTCTATGTGGGAAACAGTAGCAAAAGGGAACAAGTTAGAAGAGTCATTCAAACCGTCAACAATGATAAAATGGGGGTTGCCTAGCAAGAGCCTATGATATGGTTCTTCTGAACTCGGCTAGAAAGCATGCTCTTCTCCAAGATTCAACTTGGCAGGGTTGACGATTACGACCCCATGATGCAAGAAATCAAGAAACTACTTAGCTACGACAAGAGTGGAGGATGGGCCGTGCTTTGCAGAGGATCAGAAGTAGTGGTCAATGGGCACGGGACCACGGTGTTGCCTACCTTGGTGGAGTACGAGGACATATGGAAAATAAATGTGCCCACCAATGGGTTCGATAAATTGTTTAAGGATCACCATGACAAGCTTCACAGGATTACGCACCCGTGTTGTCGATTTGAGTTCCCGAGCGTGGCAGGAAGGATCCCGGAGAGCGTGAAATGCCCGGAGTGTCTCCGTGTCATGGAGAAGCACATCATCTTCATATGCTGCCATGATAAGAGTGCTACCACCAACACCAACGTACTCTACTGAAATATGATTCAACCATGTTGAATAATGATGGTATGAAAAATGCTTTGTGTGTATTATATATCTACTTTTTTGTTTTTTCTTCTTTCTTGTGTAATAAGATTTAAGTGTCAAATGTAATTGTCAAGGTCACTCATGTGGGTGGGCCTTCATATAATCGGTTGTCTAATGTTGTTAAATAAGAGATACTTCCATGTTTTATGGTATAACATTAACGATAACATATGTATTATTTCGTTTACATTTCTTTACTTAAAATTGCTCATGATAGTATTTTCTTTTTTAATCATTCTTTCACTAATCAAAAGAGAATTTTTTGTCACCTTGTTATATATATCACTTTCAATGTACTACCTCATATATTAGCATATCATTTGATATTAACATGAGTGGTGGGACTCATTGAATCAATAATTGATTAACACGTGAGGTGATACATTAAAAATGGTATAAAAAGATGATAATTATAACATTATTGTTGCACTTATACGTGCTATATACCTTTTTTATCAACTCTATGTGTGGAGGGGATAAGAAGGGTTTATATTTCAACAAATGGTTAAAAGTTCATTAACTTATGATTTGAAGATGGGGGAATAGGTTTTAGGGATTTATGAGTTTCTCATAATAGTTTTATGAAGGAATTACTTATCAGTTGGACAGACTAAAAAATAGAAAAAACAAAAAAACAAATCCAAATATGCTCACTTGCACCATCTATAGTTTTTTAGTTGCACCTCATTATAGAACCACTTGCACTCTCAGGATTCGTTTGAGAAGTGGGTTGGCTTTTTAATTTTTTGACTTTTTTGCTATTTTAGCCTGGGGCTAAAAACCTTGTTTGAGAAAGACTTTTTGGTTTTTTTGACTTTTGTGAGAGAAAAAATGTAATGATTATGAGTTGGATGTGATGTTTTGTCTTATCGGGCTAAAAAGCATTTTTTTTTTTTTTTGGAACTGACCCAAAGATCCAAGCCCAACATATCATACCCCATTTAGGCCCAAAACAAATTTAATACTCCATTAAGTCCTCAAATTATCAATAAGGCGAAAATACCCACAATATATCATCCAATTTACACGCTCGCAACCATCACCCACGATCATCTCAGTCTGATCAGTACACTGTTACATCTCCGTCGCTCGAAATCGAATTCTCAGTCCTCTATCTCTCCTCCGTTCGACTCCGTTCCCTCTTGTAGATACCCCATTTTTTACCGTCCTCAAGACTCGGACGCCACCGTTTCAACACTCGGCGATCATCATTGTTTGTGTTCGTCTTGAGTTCCCGGAGGTCTCGGCTACGCGCCTTGTCTCAAGATCTCTCGACTCGACTGTTTTATGTTTGGTTTTGCACCAAACACTTGTGTTTTTTGCTTTGGAGGGCAGGGAATGGCTTGTTGGCCATCCCCACACTCCACCGGCCATGGCTTGAGGCCACCGGCTGTGTTTTGTTGCCATCGGCCAAATGTTTGGCCGACCGGCACCCTAGATGGTCGACCGGCCATCTATTTTGGTCAAATTGCATTTTTGGCTGGCCGACCACTGTTCATCTGCTTTTGCAGATATTTTTATGCCAATTGTGCTAGCTAGCATACACTTTACTCCCCTCCATACACGTGTATGGAGGGATCTCCCTCTTGACTAGCTTGTTTGGAAAACTTTACAAGAGGGATTGTCTATAAGAGGGAGCCTCTTCTCCCTCTATTAGGGTTGGAGAATATTTTCAGAAGAGCTCTGAGATTAGGGTTTGAGTTTGTATCTATTCCATCTCTATATCTCTCTCTCTTTTTGCCTTGTGTGTGTGTTTAGTCTTACTATTGCACACAAACACCTAGTCCTACACCTTCTCTTGGTTGCTGAGGCACCAGAAGGCTGTTCTTGGTGTTTTTTGGTGGGTTTGAGCTTGAAGAAGCTGCTGGAGCATCATTCTTGAAGAGGGTCAACAAGGGTAAGAACTTACTCCTTTTTTTCCCATTTTTACATAGCTTTTTCACCTATCTTGCAACTATTTTTAAACCTTGTGTATAACATATAAAAGTCTTGTTTTTACCTGCTCTAAATAGTTGTTTTAGAGTGTTTTGAGCTTTGGGGTTGTTTGACCCCTCTTAGGCCTTGTTTGGCCCCCATTTTGTGCTATTTTGGTGAGCTCTGGGACCACCTTATTTGGGCCTCCTCACCACTGAAATCCCTCAAGATTTCAGTGGTGAGGATGGTGGTTTAAGGTCCTAAGAAGGAGAGGGTCACCCCCTCTCCTTGTTGTCTTTAATAATGACCATTTAAGCCTCATTAGTGAGCACCTTGTTTAAGTGTATGTTGGCCATGCCTTAACTGTTTTTTATGCTTATCCTGCATGATATAGCATTGTTGTGAGTTGGTTTAGGTACACCATGCTTGCTTGTGCTTTGAGCCTTGTTTCTAGCATGCTTTTGGCTTAGCTTTGTGAAGCTTTTATGCTTGTTTTAGCAGGCTAAAGGTCTGTTTTTTGTCATTTGGGTTGTCCATGCTTTGCTTTGTACAGCTACCATGTAACCTCTCTTGTATGCCTTAAGCATTGACCCCTCTAGCATGCCATCCTTGCATCATTTCAGTGGTTTGGAACCACTTGTCATGTCATTTCAGTCCTCATGATATGCTCGTATGCTTGCATTTGATGCCCCTTTCATGCTTTAAAAGGTTGTTGTCTTATGCCCCTTGTTTAGGCCCTTGTGCATGCTTGCATGTTTAAGCCATTTAGATGCCATCTAGATGTGTTATTGGTTTTATCTTAATATGCTAAAACTCTAGTTTTGGTTGCTTAATTCATGCCATGTTTGATTTTGCTAAGTGTAGTTCAATACACCTTTGGCTTGCCTTGAATTTTGGCTTTGCTTGCATGTCTTGTTTGTCTTGTCTAGTTGGTTTGACACCTTTCATGACTTGATTTTTCAGAGCTTATAATGCATGCCATTTGTCCATGTTTTCATCTCCTTAAGTGTGCTTCAGAGTTGCTCTTCAATGCCTAAGTGTTGGTCCTTGTGTGCATGCATACTTGCATGTTATTTGGTCCTCCTTCCCTTAGCATATTGGCCACTGTTTTGGGCTTAGTATAGAGCTGCCCAAATTAGTTTAAGTCCATAGTTCGCATGTAGTTGCATGCTCACCTTGTGTGTTGTTGCATACTTGTGTGTTGTCACATGTTTAGGTTGTGTAATATGTTTGCTCCATGTGTCGTGGCATGATGGAACGAAGTCACATGCTTGCTTGCATGCTTGAACATCCCCATTGTATTTGGCATACTTATTGGTTAACATGATCGTCACATGCCTTGTATGCTTGTTCGCATTGCTCATGTTGCATACTAGCTCACACGTCTAGGTTGCGTTGCATTGACATGCATGCTTAGCCCCTTGAATTGAGTATGACAGAGGTTGAGATCCTTGCTTGTTTATGTGCATTTGATTTGAAATCAAAGTGCATAACTTGGTTTCTTGGGCCATCACGCATCGAAATGCGCGATTGGTGGTCCGAGAACCGAGAACCATGTCCCTTTGAGTCATAAACATGATAAGGGATGTGTTGGTGCACACATTTGCTTGGAATGCATTGCCATGCCTTGTTTTGCCCTCTGCTGCTGTCAAAACAGGATTCT